TCCCCTCCCTTCCCCATTCACCTATTGCACTGTTCATCCTCCGCTCAGTTACGTTTGTTTTTTTCTTTATTTGTATTGACGTGATTCGATAACTTATAGCCATTGCAACCAAGCCATTTGGAGCTGTTGTGTAATTGTTGATGAAACAATTTTGTTTAAATTTGTTTTTAGAGCTTCCCGCTGCCAGGGAAGAGAGTGTTGCTTTCATCTCTTAAACTGTATGGATTCAGTATTATCATCAGTGTGGAGAGGATTTTTATCTTGCTGTATAGTATAACTGAGAAAGTAGAACATCTCCAGAGTATTATTCGTCGCACATCACAAAGACTTCATGGAAACATACCGTGATAATCAAGTATAGCCACTGTATCCCTGTATATGAAATGCCAATTACAAAGTCCCTTTCTACTATAAATACATTGTGATCCTATATCATATTTAGGGGAATTATAGATAGATCTTTGTCTTGTGGTCCAGCGTAGCCACAACCCAGTCTTGTGCTGTGTGTCCGTCTGTCTGCATGTCCGTCTGTCTGTCTGCCCGTCTTCCTGTTTACTCACCTCTCCACTGCAATAGCAAACGCGTGGGTGAGCCCTCCGGGACTTGAGACCACCTCGCGGGGCAGGGGGCGGGGGGTGCCGTCGTGTCGACTGTGGTTCAAGGCGACACAGGCGCGCACTCACTCGCGAGAAGGTACGGTGTAAAAATTAGCTTTTAAGGCGGAGAGGCGCTGGAAAAAGCGTTGTTGCAAAACTCAAAAGTTCACTGTAACTATGTACTGTATATCTATACGTGATCTGTATATCTATCTGGGTCTCAAAGATTGTTAGTTTTTCTCTCTTCTTCAGCCTGTTGATCTGATTGTCTGCCGATCTATTACTCTTCAATGTATATATATATAAACTATCTTACCATATTTACTTAATTCACACTGTATTTTTGTCACAAAAACACAATGTCTGTGCACTGTAAAGAAATAATTTAAACAAAGATTTACAGGAAAATATCTTATTCAAAGCTATGTTTACACAGTCTTAAAAGGAACCCGCATTTGAACAAACAACTTGTAACATCTCTTCAGGGTGCCTTAAGACCTGATGAAATAAATTGTGGGATAAGTGATTTTGAAGAAAAAATGGAGTCCTGTGTTGTGTTTTGTTTTCCTTCATTCAAATTCGACCTTAAATTCTGTCAGCATCCAAGTCAAACTTCACTGATTCTGGTTCTTTACGACAACTTGCTTTTTTGCACCAATATCTAATATAGTAAACACTCTGTGCAGACATGGAGGATGACCTGCTGAAGTTCTGATTACCGAGCGTCAGAATGGAGAAGAAAGGCATGGTTGTTGGTGCCAGATGTGCTCGTTTCAGCTGATTACTCTGAATCATCTCTTTACAGAGAATAGTCTGAAAAAGAGAAAATATAAGAGAACAGCAGTTCTCTGGAAGAAAATGTTTTTTGATGCCAGAGGACAGAAGAGAATCGTCAGATTCCTAAAGGTAATAAGAAGGTAACAGCTATTTAAATAACTCGTTACAACCAGTGTATGCAGAAGACCATCTCTGAATGTGCAACATGTCAAACCTTGAAGCAGAAGACCCGAGAACAGGAGACTGAAGCTAATATTTGCACAGAGTCACCAAAACTGGAGAAACAGAAGATTTGGATAAACGCTGTCCAATCTGCTGAGTCACATTCAGATGGTAGGGCCAGAATTTAAATGAGATGAAATCATGGATCCATCCTTCCTTGTATCAACAGTTCAGCCACCTGCCGCATTTTCTTGCTGCACTTAATGCCACACTTTGATCGTCAAAATTACCAGCTGAGTATCGTTTAAACACCGCAGCCTACCCGAGCATTGTTGCTGACCACAGTTTGTGTTTGTGACTGCACCCAGCATGATAGTGCACCATGTCGCAAAGCACAAATGATGTCAAATTGGGCTCTTGAACATGACAATGAGTTCGCTGTACTCAAACCGCCATAGTCACCAGATCTCAGTCCAACAGAGCACCTTTGGGATGCGGTGAAACGGGAGATTTTTGAAAACAGAAGCAGCTTTTCTTCCTCTTGTGAAATAACAATGATCTGACCTCTTTTGTCCAGGGACAGTTACATAAATGAAGCCATGTGTAAAGATGGAGGGGGATTCTGTCTTTGGAGGAACTGATAACAACTCAGACACCTGATGCCCAGAGCCAAACCCGAACACTATTGTTGTAATAGTGTTTGGGTTTGGCCTCGAAACACTTATTTAATCTTGAACAAGGACATGTTTTCATACATGTATCAATTCATTTTTAGGGCACATCTTAATTTCGCCCATCCTGTGACTGAACAAAGGAATGTTTAATTGTATTTTTGGATGCATCATAAAATTACATAATTGTACTTGTTTAAATTCCCAATTCTGCTTCATACCTCTGGGACTGGAAAGAGAGCTAATGAGGGACCGCAGTTGTTTATTGAAGCCTGGGATTGTTTATCTTCAGCCTCTAAGTACTCTCACCGCAGTTGCAGCACATATTTGCTGGCACACGAGGGAGCCAGAAGCAAGAACAGTTTAGGCGTGAGCGTGGCACTAACACAGTGCTGCTTGTTGGATAATGAACTGCAAGGGAGCAGGTCTTGGTGTGGCATTTGAACTTAGCAGGTACATGCTTAAATAAAATCTAAACAATCATTAGTCTGTAAAGATTTGTTCATCTTTATAACCTCAACAGTCTTTTCCTCATTTCTCAGAAACCTAGTCTAGCCTGGTATTTGTGCAAAAGGCCAGACCTGTAACTGAGTCTGAAATGGCTGTAGAGGTCAGAATACATCAGTAGAGGCATTCGGATCACACCTGTCCACTCTAATTTCACAGCGCCTTCATCTGCCCGGCTCCTGCAGCGCCCCTGGGCTGCAGCAGCTCAGTCCTTTCGTTGTCAACAGCAGTTTGAACCCAAGTCCTGCTACATGAGATAATCTGTCGGGGTTTAGCTGCAGCAAGAATCCACCTTAAGTTCTGCTAAGCTCTTACCGTCCTTGAGTTGGGCTGAACAACTGGTACTGGAGACAAAAGAAAGTACACTTCTTCAGCTGTATGGACGAAGGGGGTGGGCAAACATGTAAAATAAACCGCTCTGACATGAAGAACTCGCACATAAATGAGTGTTTCACGTGTTAGTGTCTTCCATGATCATTTCATTTTTTCCCCTTCTAGCCATCACAGCCACCAGGATACGTTTAAAGGTTGACTTTTAATTTCATTCATATTTCACTAAAAAAGGAGAGACCAAACGTGATGAAGCTGTGAAATGTTTTACAGCTGCATCACATTTAACTTTTGATTCTTGCTCAGATTCTTTGCAGTAAAGCTGAGATGCTACAGAATTTGAGCGAAGAAGGCGCAAGGATAACACTGGTTATCGCCTTATCGGCTATGAGCTAAACATGCCAGTTTGGAGCACAGCCTGAATGTAGTCAGCATCCTAAAGGGATTAATGCGACTGATATTTTTAGATTTTACTCCAGAGTTCTCCGCAGCACTTTCCCTGTGGTTATATTTAGCCTAGAGAACATGCGCGGCATGACTCGATTTGGGCCGCTCTCTGACGCTGGTGGTGGAAATGTTCAGGCTTCAAGGTGACAACGAATGACAAACACATGAATATTCATGAGTGAAGAAAGACACTTTTTAAAAGACATTTTAATTTATTCAAATGAGTCACGATTTAAGGAAATGTCTGCTGTGCTGTACATCGTCTAGTGTAGCAATTCCTCTCATTTTATATTTACATGCATTGTGTACTTATTAAAATTACCTTTATAAACTGACCTATGCGCAAGATCTGGAAATTTAAAAACTCTCTAGAGTCTCTAGAGTCTCTAGACTCAGCCCAACAACCAAAACAGCATCATCTCAAACTAAGAAAGGAGCCCCGAGTTAGCGTTTCAGGGCCAGTATAAAGCAACCTGTGCATTCCTGGTTCAGGAATTTATTGCTCAATCTGTCTAAATTTTAATCTTTTATGTGCAGCAATGAGCTGCTTTTTCAGCGCTCATCTCTCCCTCAAAAGCGAGAGTCTCCATTTCTCACTACAAGCAGAGGCTCCCAGCACCAACAGCAGAGGGACTCACTGAATAGGTTTTTTGTATTCTTCACTCTCTTTCATTTAATTCTATATTATAAATTACTTACATACAATATTTTCCTTTCTCTCTGTGCATATATATATTTATATATATATATATATATTTCTTTATATACAATACATACAATTGTAACAGTTGGTCTTATAAAACTAAAACATTCAGTGTAAATGCAATCCTAATTGTCAGATTTAGGATCACAACAGATGACTAAAAAAACACAATTATGTCTGCCACATGGCAGGGCTCGCAAAATTTCAAAATCCCTGGTAGCCCTTCGGGCAGGGACTCTTCAGTTTGGAAGCCCAAAATAAATTTAAGTAGCCCGAATAAAAAAGAGAGCAAATTTTTTGATTGATGTTTTGTTTCCTGTTTTGTTTCCTTTACAATATTATACTTTAATGTATAATATTGTAAAGGAAACAAAACATTAATCAAAAAATTGTTGAAACACAAATTACAACATTGTATA